CATACAGAGTCCAGCTTTATGGCACCAACGTCTGGTCCATCTTAATGCAGCTGATATGTTGAAGTTAAGAAAAATTGATTGTGGAGTGAATTTTCCTGATTCTGAGAACAAGTTGGATTGTATCCCATGTGTAACTGGCAAACTGGCAAGACAGCCTTTCCCATTGAGTGAGTCAAGATCAAGTAAGAGACTGGAATTGGTTCATGCAGATCTCTGTGGGCCTTTAGAAGAAAGATCATTCAGTGGTTCCAGATATGTACTACTTTTGAAGGATGATTATTCGAGAAAAATGTTTGGATATTTTCTCGCCACAAAATCAGACGTCTTTAAACACTTCAAAGAATTCACTCTGAGAGCAGAAATCGAAACAGGTGAGAAGTTGAAGTGCATTCGTACTGATAATGGAACTGAGTTCTGTAATAAACAGATGAATGAGTTTCTAGCTGAGAGAGGAATAAAGCATGAAAGAACAGTCATTTTCTGTCCTGAACAAAATGGCAGAATAGAGCGCTCCAACAGGACTGTAATCGAGACCGCAAGAACCTTACTGGAAGGAGATGGTTTACAGAAGCGATATTGGGCAGAAGCAGTGAACACTGCAATCTATGTAAGAAACCGGTGTCCATCTAAGGCAGTGTCAGGAAAAATACCTGAGGAACTTTGGAGGCAGAAAAGGATAAGTCTCAGCCATTTAAGGGTTTTTGGCTGTGAAGCTTATGCACACATCCCAAAACAGAAGCGAAGGAAGCTGGATCCAAAGGGTGAGAAGAAAATATTTGTGGGATATAGTGAGAGCAGCAAGGCCTACAGATTGCTGGACACTGACCACAAGGGTAATCTCACAATTGCCAAAACAGTTGTTTTCTTTGAGAATAAGTTTCCAGGTAAATTAGTTGATGACAGCAAGCCAACCCCAGATCCTTTGCCCGTAGTTAGTGAGTTCCATTCAAAGGATCCAGATGATATGGTGGAGGCGAATGTTCAAGATAAGTCAGGCTCTGAGGACAGCAGAAGCACTACCACCGTAGACAGTGAGGACCATGACATCCAGTTAGTGGAAGAAGGTGGATCCCATCAGAACCAAGCTGGTGAGGACACACAAGTCCGAAGGTATCCATTACGCAAACGTACACCTAGAGTTTTTCCTGATCATGTCATGTATAGTGCAGTGCAGTGTGACCAGGAACCTGAGGACATTGAGCAAGCCTTGAAGTGTGCTGATAGTGACAAGTGGATTGAAGCGATAAATGAAGAACTTGACGCTTTGAAAAGCAATAAAGCGTGGGACTTAGTGAACCTTCCTCCAGGAGAAAAGGCTGTGGGTAATAAGTGGATGTTTAAAATTAAACAGGATAGTGAAGGCAAAATTACAAAACACAAGGCACGATTAGTAGCCAAAGGATTCACACAAACTTATGGGTTTAATTATACAGAAACCTTTTCTCCCGTAGTAAGGTACTCCACACTAAGACTTTTGCTTTCTTTAGCTATTCAGTTAGATTGGAAAATAGATCATTGGGACATTGTAACCGCCTTTCTGCATGGCCCTCTTAAGGAGAATGTGTATATGGTTCCACCTTATGGGCTAAATGCTACGGATGTAAAAGGTAAAGTATGCAAATTGAGAACAGGATTGTATGGTCTTAAGCAATCGTCACGAATTTGGTATGAACAACTTCATTCTGAACTGTGTAAACATGACTTTAGACAGTATGAATTCGAACCCTGTGTATATACGAAGTCCAGTGAGAAAGGTGTTGTGATAGTAGCCATTTATGTGGATGACATCTTTGTCTTTTACAGTAATACTGTAGAAATGCAGAAGCTTAGGAAGGCACTAAGTAATGAGTTCCCAGTGAAGAATCTTGGTGCAGCTAAGAATATTCTAGGGATGAGAGTTGAAAGATCGAACAATGTAATCACTTTGGATCAGAGCAACTATATTAGGAATGTCCTAGATAAGTTCAGCATGCAAGACAGCAAACCAGCGCGCACTCCTCTAGTTACAGGGACCCAATTGGAGAAGGGTGTATGTGATACTAGTTTTCCGTATCAGAGTCTAGTAGGATGTCTCATGTACATCGGAGTTTGTACCAGACCTGACATAATTCATGCTGTAAGTTTGTTATCTCGTTTTAACACTTGCTATGGAGAAGTGCATGTCCGAGCTGCCAAGAGAGTACTACGATACTTGAAAGGGACTGTTGACACTAAGTTAACGTTCCAAAAGAATACCACAGCAAAGTTAGATTTGTGTGGATATGTTGATGCAGCTCATGGTAATGACCCTCTTGACAAGACCTCGTATACTGGATATGTTTTCAAATTGGGTGGTAATGTAATTTCTTGGGAAAGCAGGAAACAAGATTCGTTATCATTGTCAAGTACTGAAGCTGAGTACAAGGGGCTGAATGATGCCGCTAGAGAGTGTGTACGTTTACACGATTTACTGAATGGACTGGTTGAAGGTATTAAAGAAGGGATTTACTTATCAAACTTTGTACTAGAATTGATGGATGAAGAGAAAGTACCTGTAATCTTTAATGATAATCAGTCAGCTCAAATGTTAAGTAAGGATAGGCGATTCAGTAAGCGTACTAAGCATATAGAGTTAAAGCATCATTTTATCAGAGAAGCCATAAAGAAAAGTAAAGTGAAACTTGATTATATTCAGAGTGAAGAGTTGATGGCAGACTTGTTGACCAAAGCTCTGCCAGGTCCAAAAACTGAGCATTTTCGTCGCAAGTTGAATTTGATTGCATAGTTAATTATATTATGTTTTACTTGATTGTTGACTTATGATTGTGATGAGATTAGGTCATGTTGGATTGGTAATCATATCATCATCATAAGTTGGCAACATTTATGCTTATTGTTTTTTTTTATACATCCGTTTCCGCTCTCTAATAAATGGAAGACGTGTGAAAGCAGTATGTTCCACACACGGACAGTGTATCTTAATTCATACACATTTCCTTACATTATTTCATCATTTATTGATGTTGAAATTATTTGTAGGTGTTACCTACCTAGTCTGTTGAAAGTCAAATGATGTTCTGGAGGAACATGTCACCTCCATCTTCAGAGTCAAAGAATGAAGAGCTCTGTTTGCTACCTCTTCATGCTTGTTTCTTATTTGGCTTAATTCTTCAACCCTGAAGATGGAGGCAATACGTGAGGCAATCCAAAAGTTATGGTTATGAGTACATCGAAATACTGCTCGGTGTCTGCTCACACATCCTTCTTGAATCAGTGTGGCAAGTGGCGTCGAGTTGAGTGGTTCGGTTTATTGTTGGTGAACGTATTTCCATTTTTGTGTTTCCGTGAGTTTGCGGTTTTGCGATTGCTGACCTGAGAGAGCAGCGTGTCTGTATAAAGTTTTGTTTCAAACTTGGGAAAACCGCTGCAGAAACGCACCAAATGTTGAAAGAAGCTTTTGGTGAAAACAGTTTAGGCCAGACTGGTATAAGCGTTTTAAAAATGGCCGAACATTGACTGATGATGACGGTCGTTCGGGATGGCCGTCAACAGGCAAAACACCAGAAAATGTCACGAAAGTTAGGGATCTGATTCTGCAAGATCGTAGACTGACCATCCAAGACCTCTGTAACACCTTGGGACTAAGTTATGGTACATGTCAACGAGTTTTGTTAGAGGAACTGAACATGAGGATTGCGGCGAAGTTTGTGCCATGACTGCTGCAAAATGAACAGAAGCAGCATCGCTTGGAAGTCTGCAGGGAACTTCAGCAACAGCTTCAAGAGGATCCAGACTTTCTTTCAAAGGTTGTCACTGGTGACGAAAGTTGGGTTTATGGCTACAACCCTGAAAGTAAGCAGAAATCGTCACAATGGAAGAGCCCTTCTTCACCTCAGCCAAAAAAAGCTCGACAAGTTAAGAGCAACATTAAGTCCATCTTGATCTGTTTTTTTTATATTGACGGGATTGTTCATAAGGAGTTTGTCCCTCCTGGTCAGACAGTCAATAAAGAGTTCTATCGCGATGTTCTAAGGCGTTTCAGGGAGAACATGAGGAGAAAACATCCAGAGAAGTGGCACACAAATGACTGGGTACTCCACCATGACAACGCACGACCGCACATGGCTTACATTGTGCAGGAATTTTTGGCTAAAAACAAGTTGGCAGTTCTCCACCCACCGAACTCGCCAGACTTAGCTCCGTGCGACTTCTTTCTCTTCCCCAAGATGAAAATCAAGTTGAAGGGACGAAGATTTGATACAGTTTAGGAAATTCAAGAGGAAACGCAGACGGTACTAAACACCCTAACAAAGAAAGACTTCCAGGATGCATTTGAAAAGTGGCAGAAACGCTTGGATCGGTGTATGCGCTCCCAAGGGGGCTACTTTGAAGGTGATGGTGCAGAATAAGATCTAGGTAAGATGTAATAGTTTTTATTAATATATTTCGGGAACTTTTGGATTGCACCACGTACATTCTTCTGAAATTGTTGACTTTCAATGGACTGCATGGCATAATATCCCGAAAGAACTTCTTATCTGAATGTGATTCAACTCACACATGTAGATATGTGAATTACTTATTGTGGTAGCCTTGAATTCTTCTGTTTCTGATCTAGGAATGGACCAGTTTGTACATGATTGTCATTTTGCAGTTCTTATATGGCTTACACTTTCCCTGCTGTTGTGATAATCAAGTGTACTTTGACAGAATTACGGAATTAGTTCCTTTAGATCTTTCGTATTACATTTCATATACAGATGACCATGGGAAGGATGCTGGTTAGTTAAATCAATTGAGTTAGATTAAAGAGGGTGGTTGTTTACTGTGACATACTAAATATTTTTCTTTCTTTTATATGTTACACAACTTAATCCTCTTTCCAGCATCTCCTTGGGTCCCCCCTTTTAAATTTCTTATGGTGGGGTGAGACTGAGTCCACTTGGTATGTTGGCCACTAATGGTCTCCTTATTACTCTTCATCCTGTGGGTCTCTATTTCATGCTTGCCCTTTTTAACCATAAGGTGTTTCCATCTCCTTGTAATCACAGTTATTTCTTCGTCTGTATTAAGTTATTAATCTTAAGTTTCTCATGTGTACCAGTTTTCATTTTATGTCTATTGTATGAAAATGTAATGACACAGTTACATGAACAGATATGAGTTTATTTTTATTGTTTTACACAAGAACAGTGACTGGTACATGGTCTGAAATCATGAGGGTTTAACAGTTATCTCAACATCTGGTCATAATTTGAGATTAATAACAGGAAACTTCACACAAACAGAAGCACATTATGATAAAAAAGTGCCCTACAAGTTTGTTCAATGTTAAATTATTTAATGAGTATCAGTTAAAACTACAGTTTGTCATTAATTATATTTACTTACTTACTTAATCCATTCCTGTATACCTTATGGTGTTGAGGTTGTTTTTTCATTTTGATCATTTTACAGATGGTAGAACTCCTTGGATGAGTGATCAGCTCATCACAAGGCCTCTAACCAAATACAGGACAACACAAACACCACATACACATACCAAACATCCATGCCTTGTGTGGGATTTGAACCCATGATCCCGGCTTCTGAGTGAGCAAAAACAATACTTGCTTTGGACCGCTCAGCTACTCTGACTGGCTATTAATATCACTGGATACAAATGTTTAAATTACGTGTAGATTCTAAAGCATTCTGGTGATGGTGAATAATGCTCAGAATTACATCTTATATGTCTGGTCTGTTAGAAAGAGCTCTTTCCAACATCCTATGGAGTTGGTGCCCCCCCCCCCCCACCCCTCAACTTAGGACGGAAACAGATCTGGTTTCTGACACTTTGTGTTATCTGGTGTTTTTAGAATACCGGGCGATGGACAAAGTCAAAAAATACATTAATTTCGAGATTAAATTACTCTTCTGATGTCTAGATATTTAAATTATGTGACAAAGAGTTAAAGCAAGTATTGTGGTAATTCTGATAGTACAATTGCGTGAATCACTTTATTCATTCTCTCTCTTCTTCATAGAGAAATTCAGTTCTTGCAGGCTCATATATGTGTTGTGTTTCAACTTCTCCCAACGGCGGTGAACTTACTGTTGGCGTTTCCACAGCATCTGCTTCATCATCAGCATCATATTGATAGCTGTATGAAAGTTCAGAATCTAAACGTTCCCTTTTGACGTTCATTGTTTCATCAGGAGACAGCAGTCCTACTTCAGCATCATCTGCAGGCCAATTCTTACTCATCTCATCCATGAATCTGTGTTTTTGTTTCCTATTGCGGACACCTGTTTGTGAACCCTGACAGTCTTCTTCAGATGAATCTCTAAAAGGGAATAACAGAACATCATGATGTCTTGATAACATCTAAAGAATTATTTTAACATAACATATTTTCAGCCAACATTTCTTTATACAAAATGATAAAATTATGCTATCATCATTCAGTATTATGAGATCTGAATGATCATGCCACTGTAGGCTTCCACTCTTAATATTCTTAATTTCCTACCATAATAGCATAAAAATTGCTACCACACCAACTTCTGATATGCATGTATATTAATTTATGTAGGACCCAGAAATTTCTCATGTTAACGCATACTGTCACGTGTACATGGCTGTGTGACTAATAATAACAGGGTTTGGATTGGATGATTGGATTTGTTAACACCTTTTCTATTCACTCATAATCACAATCAGTTACAGTAACTCACAATAAATGACTTCCTGGGAGTCGCTCCATTCTGACTGGGCTATGGCTGTCTTATCTTCTAGTCTGTTTTCTACTGTCCTTTTCCTTGCTTCTGTCTTGTACTGTGACTGACTGACTTGGTTCTTATCTGAATGGCTGCTTATATAGCATATCATTATCCAAGGAAATGTTTGTTGATCATTCATTTACATGGAAACCCTGTTTCTGTTGATCACATGTTTACATGGAAACGTGCAATACCGAGTTGGTTTCCATGGAAACGTGTTCCCTAGCAGTGGGTGTACATGTCACAATATTATGATCACGTGCGTTATGACACTACGCTGTATCCTGGTGGGTGTGCACCAGCATTTCAGAGGACTGTACTGCCTCCACCATCCAGGGAGTATGTTCCTCCTAGTACCTACAGACTGCAGTACAATGTCAAAACCCCAGAATATGAATCTCCTTGGACCTTATAGTTGTATACTGATAATTTCATATTGTTGCATATACATCCATTGCTAAGCAGCGACTACAAAACAAACAAGAAACGATATATGATATAACTCCGTCCTAAGTGCAAACTATATTATAGGTCTTTCGTCTTGTTCTTCTTCATATACATGTTTTGGCCCCAAACGGCCATCATCAGGTGTACACTCACGGATCTGTTACACTGCACTTATTTATAACATTTAAAATTTAAAAACATAGGTCTTCCTGATTAGCACTTATAAAATCTTCGGTTCTAATTTTAAATCCTTTAAAAATTCTTTCTCTAAATTCCAAAATTTAAAAATGTCAGGGTTACTCGCCCTATGTCTGTAGTGCTGCAGCAGCTTCTTCTTTCTACCACTGTATAGGTGTTATCTGTAATATACAAATATTTGTACTTACTCTGTGTAGTCTCCTTGTGTGCGTGCCACTGCTTATCTTTACTACATGTGCTGTCTGATGTATTGTGTGCTGTGTTTTATATTGGTGAGTGTAGGAGGGGACTGGGTATTGGGGAGAGGGAGGTACCGTTAGTGTGTAGATTTTGTGTATCGTTTGAAATATGGGATTGTGTGTTTCTATGTGTGTGTCATTCATGTGTAGACCTTCCTTACTTATTTTATATATATGGTATTTCTCTAATGTATTCAAATGTCTGCCCTTCTTCCCATTGTTATAACTTCCATTACCTTTGTTATTGTTCCATGTGCATGTCCTGTATTTAGTATGTGATTTGAGTACCCGGAATTGCTGTTATTATTTCTAATATCATGTATATGTTCTTTATATCTGTTGTTAAATGTTCTGCCCGTTTGCCCAATGTATTTCAGTGGGCAATCTACACATTTCATTTGGTATATGCCACTTTTATTGTATTTATCTAATTGTGGTTTTTGTTTGAGTATATTTTCTATTGTGTTTTGTGTGCGGAATGCTACTTTTATCTGTGTGTCTTTGAAAAGTTCTGTAATTTCTCTCACTTCTTTTGTACTATATGCAAATGTGGCCCACTTTGTTTTTTTGTTGTTGTTCATCGTCATGTGTGTTTGATTTTTGTTTTTGTTTTGTCTGATTTGATCTTTTGATTATGTTTGTGGCATATCCATTGTTATGTAGTATGTTTTTAATAGTGTTCTTCTGTATTTGTTTTCCTTTTTCTGTTATTGGGTATGTGTCGAGTCTATTTATTAGGTAATTAATACCTGATAATTTGTGCTCAAATGGATGGCATGAGCTGTTAGGTATTATGATGTCTGTCTGTGTGGGTTTCCTATATATTGCGAATTGCAAACTGTCTTCCTTATGATGTATTGTTATATCTAGGAAGTTAATTTATTCTTGTTGTTCTCTTTCTATGGTGAATGTTATAGCTGGTTGCAATTCATTAATTTCCTTGAATGTATGTTCTATGTTCGTTATTTTTTCATCATATATTATTAATATGTCATCGACATATATGAAGTAGGCCACTATTTGTTGTTTTACTAGAATAGGGTATATTTGTGTGTGTTCCATACATTGTATATATATTTCTGCTATTATAGCTGATGTTGGGGCTCCCATAGCTAGTCTGTCTGTTTTTTTGTAGTATACTTTGTCAATTTGGAAATAATTTTGTTCCAATACTGTTTTTAACATATGTATTATTTCTTTGTGGCTTTCTTTATTTATTTATTTCATGGTTCTTTCTTATTATAGTCTTTATTATATTTATGGTGTTAGTTTTCGGTATATTTGTATACATGTTTTCAATGTCAAAGGAACATAGTCGCATGTTCTCATTAAGTTTAATAGCTTGTACATCTGTCATTAATTGGGAGGAGTTTTTGACATTGTATGTGTTTGGTAGTTGTAGATAATCATGCAATACTTTCGCCAATTTCCTTGTCATTTCATAAGCTGGGGCATTCTTCCAGTTTATTTTTGGTCTAATGGGTGTGTTAGGTTTATGTAGTTTTATTGTGGCGTGTAGGTTTTGGGCTGTGGGATTCATGTTTGTAAATTTCCATTTGTCTTGTATGATATTATTACACTGTTTCAGTGCTTGTTTTAGTGCCCTTTGGTATTGTTGGGGCAGATTTTTGTCAATTTTTATAAATTGGTTATTGTGTATGAAGTTATTTATTTTCTGTTTGTATTCTTCTTGTGTTAGTATTATTAGTGTTTTCCCTTTATCTGCTTTCGTTATAATAAGTTTATTCTCTCCATTTTTATTTGTATGTTCATTATTTGTTTCCATTCCCTTTTATTTTTCTTATCTTTATTGGTTTTATTCCTTTCATTGTTATTCTTGTGTATATCTTTTAGTTTCCTCGCAATTAGGTGTCTATAATAACTTTGTTCTGTTATTTCTAGGTTATTTATTGCTAGTAGTTACTATAGGATTCTGACGATGGTGTATAACACACTGATATGTTGGGATTTTGGACTTTATCCATCGTCCTGGTTTTTTGTTATCTTAAAAACCAGGACGATGGATAAAGTCCAAAATCCCAACTTATTTATTGCTGTTTCAGCTTCTAAGGCTAACGTCTCAATCCATTTTTCATTCTTGTGATGTAGATTATATTTAAGGCCTTTACTTAGTATTTGGGTTTCTTCATGTGTAAATTGTATATTTGTTTGATTCACTACTCTCTTGTAATGTATGTTTTTGCTTGTTATATCTATATTTTGTGTTTTCTTCATGTTGTTTTAGATATGTTGTTTCCATATCTTTTTGTAACTTTTCTTCTATTGATTGTTTGATGTTATTCCATGTTCGTTGCCATGTGTTTGCATTGTGTATGTGAATGTGATAGAGTTGTGTATTTAATTGTTGTTTCTTTTTATATAGAAATTTTATTTCATTTTTTATGCGTAATGTTTGGACTTGTATTTGTGTTTTCTTAGCTGCTTCGTTGTTTGTTGTTATTTTCACGTACACATATTTTGGTACTAGTTTTTCTTTCAGACATGTTTTGTTAAATTTTATGTTAGCGTTGCAGTGTAGCAGTTTCCGTTTACAATTCATATATTTATAAATGCTTTTTGTGTGACAACTGTTTACAATATTATATTTAAGCATCCTGTTGCACTCTACACGATAAA